TTTTTTTTCATAATTGCTTATTTCTTTACATATTGTGTTTAAGTTTTTGACTCTTTTTTGATTATTATTTTTTAATATAAACTTTTTTATAAAAAAGCAATTAATTAGTTCGGGTTATAGTTCGATTTTTATTACAATTGGACAATAATTTTTACCATTTAACCCAAACTTGTCATTAAAGTAAAACTTGTCATATTTTATTGTTTGATTATTTTTACAATGTTTTTTTATGAAATTATATTTGTTTTTAATAGTTAATTTTTACAAATTTTTTAATAACATGTTATACCTTTATTGTTTGTATACTTCTTAATATAAATAAAAAAACAACATTGTAATTTGAATAAATTCTTTAATAATCCATCTTGTCAACTTAAAAAAAATATTCTCAAAATATTATGTTTATATTTAAATAATTTATTATTTAAAATAAAATAAAATATTATTTTATCATTTATTAGAAAATAACAATCAAAAAATCAATTAATAACACTAATAATATTGTTTGTAATAACATTGAAATTTTTCAACATCAAAATGTTATTCTTTCGATTTTAAATTGACAATTGGAATGATAACCAAATATAAAATATAATAAATTAATAATTTCAAATGTTTTAATTTATGATTTGATTAATAATGCCAAGATTATATACAGCAAAACTAAAACGTGTGTTTTTACTTTTTTAAAAAAAACTAGATAATTCAAAAATAATAATGACTCATCAATTAAACATTGTATCACTTTTATTGTTTTTGATTAGTACGTCCTCTGAAATATGCGAAGCTGGCTATTATCTAAGTGCTGGGTATTGTGTAAAATGCATAAAAGGTTTTTATTCTATTGGAGGGACTGTTGGCGAATGCACAAGATGTGACGAGTTGTGTGCGACCTGCGATAAAACAAATGGGAATTGCACAAGTTGTGTTGGTGGATGTGGCTTCAATGGTCGAGGATGCTCATTGTGTCCAGCTGGGTATTTTTCACCTGGTGGAATAAGTACATGCACAGTGTGTCGGAGTGGTAGTTACTCGTTTGGTGGTGCTTCTGTGTGTTCAACTTGTGATTCTACATGTGGTAGTTGTGATAAAAACAATGGCAACTGCACATCATGTAGTTCTGGTTATATATTGACGGATGGCAGATGCACACCATGTTGGGCGGGGACGATTCAAAATGGAGATATGTGTGTGGAGTGTCCAACTAACTATTACTCATCAAGTGGTTCCGCTTCGTGTACAAAATGCGACACGACGTGTGTGACATGCAATTCAACGAATGGGTATTGCACATCGTGTCAAATTGGATATGCCACAAACAACAAAGTGTGTACAATATGTGCAAGTGGGTATTACGAGCACAACAACGTGTGCAAACCGTGTGAGAATGGGACACATTCGTCAACAAGTGGGAGCACTGCATGCACGCCGTGTCAGGGTGGGTATTACAGTCTGATTGGGTATTCCGAGTGTGTACATTGTGATGGTCTGTGTGGTGATCGCTGTGATGCTGCAAGTGGGAAGTGTCTGAGTTGCATAAGTGGATATGTCTTACAACCAACAGGCGAGTGTGTTGGCTGCGAAGGTGGGCAATATGCAAATGCAACAACCAACAGCTGCAAATTGTGTGTATCTGGAATGTATTCAGAACAGAATGCGCCATCGTGCACAAGTTGTGGTGATGGGACGTATTCCAAAGAAGGTGCCACCAGATGTAAGGCATGTTTATCCATTTGCAACACCTGTGACAAAACAACTGGTGTGTGTCTGACATGTTATTCAGGGTACCAACTGAACGCCTCACAGAGCTGTGAGATATGCCGACGTGGGACATACTCATATGGCACAAAATGTGTTGATTGTGAAGAGATGAAATACCAAAATGAGGAGGGGCAGTCTTTCTGTCTTGCATGCAGTGCAAATTGTGCGTCGTGTGACAAAACAAATGGAAAATGCACCACATGCAAATCTGGATATGGCTACGACAGTGGAATTTGCACGTTGTGTCCTGATGGTTATTATTCCACAGGCAAGACTGGAAGTTGCATACCGTGTCCAGTTATTTGTGATAATTGCATCAAAGAAAGTGGCGTGTGCTCGTCGTGTTCATCTGGTTTTAAGAAAGTTGGAGATAATTGTACATCTTGTGCATCAAATGGGAATTGCAATTCGTGTGATTCAAACGAAAATGAGAGCAACAGAGTGTGTGTTGAATGTGCAGAGAATTGTTATTTGGATGATGAAGAAAACAGTTGCTTCTTGTGCAACACAATTGATCCCAATTGTGACAACTGTTCAAGAAATGCAAAGGTGTGTCTTGCATGCAAAGACGACTTTGTGACAGACGGCACATCGTGCAACAAATGTGGTGCAAGCGAAGTCAAAATCGACACACAAAGTTGCGTGAAGTGCTTTGAGGCCATCAACAACTGCAACAGTTGCACTTTCAACAACACCACCTTTGTGTGTGTTGGGTGTTTTGCGCCATATGTGGTGTCAGCAGACAGCAAGTCGTGTGTGTTGGGTTACACTGAAGGTACTCACTACAACTACAACACAAATACATCAATACTGAATGACAATAACTGTGTAAGACAGGTGAACACAACATGCATACAATGTAAAAACAGTCTGCTTGTCAACGGGAGTTGCATTGGTGTTGACAGTAATTGCAAAAAACACTCGACAACGATGTGTGATGTGTGTGCGACAGAAGTTATCACAACAGCAAACTGTGGAGAAATCGCAGACAACTGCAAATACACAAAAGTGGTAAATGGCGTTGGTGAGTGTCTCCAATGCAAAAGTGACGAGTTGTGTGGACTGCAACAGCAGCACTGCGCAATGTCAAACAACTTATTTTGTTATTTGGCAGTAACTGGATATTCTTCAACAACAAATGGAATTTTGGAGTGTGTGGGTGGCAGTGTTTGTATTCAAATCGGCAACGACGAAATTGATTATAAGTGTGCAAATCCATATGTGTTTGATGGCAAATACAAATGTCATGACGATGTCAAATGCAGCACAATGAAGTCGAGTGATTGTGTTGGATGCATCACAAATCACCACATTGAAGACCACACATGCACACAAAACACAATTGCAAACTGTGAAATCCAAAACAAAGACATTTGCATCAAATGCGATGCAACAACAATCACATCAGATGGGAAGTGTTACTCAACTGGCAGTGTCGACTGTGCTGTGTTTGATGGTGTGTGCAAGAATTGTGCAGCAGACAAGTACAAAACACTTGAGAGGTGTGAGTTGATAGAAACACAATTCCCATCATGCCAGTTTGTTATTGGAGAACACTGTGCTGAGTGTAAATATAACAACAATTTGATCAACGGCATTTGTGTGACAAACACACAACAAAACACAACAAAGAATTATTTTAAATCCATTTCAAATCAATTGCAAAACACACAACAAATAAATTATAAAAGTGGCAACAAAACATCATTGAAATTGGAAGAAAACGTTCAGTCGAATTGCATTGAAAAATGTTCAAAGGGGTGTTCGCGATGTGCTGCCATGTATTACATCAAAAATGGCGTTTGTGTGAAATGCGAATACCCCTGCACACGCTGCTCAAATCTGACATTCTGCACAAAGTGTGACCAATACTCGTATCCTAACACAAATGGGATTTGCACAACACTTGGAGAAATAATTACAACATGCTTGGCAATGATGCCAAATTACGACGGATGCGCTATTTGTAAAGATGGTTATAAAAGATCCACCGATGGCAAAAGTTGTGACAAATGCGATGAGTCGTGTGCAACGTGTGATGTCTTTGGCAATTGCATTGACTGCAACAACACATTCTATCGAGTCGATACAAGTGACAAATACTGCAGACCACAAAGTGAGTTAATTGGGTGTCTCAACACAAGCACTTATGGCTGCTTGATATGTGGCGATGGGTATTATTTACATACAAATATATGTGATAAGTGTGATGACAACTGCACACTCTGCACATCACTGACTGAGTGCACAAGTTGTGTTGCAACACACATTTTAGTCGACTCACAGTGTGTCCATTTCTCGAGTATTTCAAATTGTATTTCTGCATCAAACAACAAGTGCACGCAATGTGCTGACGACTACAAAGTCAATACAGAAGGCACTCAATGCAATAAAAAGACGAACTATGGCTTGGACGTTGTTCTTCCTGTTGTTTTGACATTATTATTTTTGGTATTTCTTTCTGTAGTGACATATACAAATTTTTATCTGTTTAATAAAAAGCAGAAAAAAGACAGAGAAAGGGGTGTTTGTGTATTTCCAATGAAAAAATCGAATATTCCAATGAAAGTACTTGGAAACAACATTCTTACCAATAAAACTGAAATTTGTTTTAATGAAGTTGATGATTATGAAGATTTGCTTAAAGTCAATGTTGAAAGTCGTGAACTTCTATGTATTGGAAACTCTTTAAAAGGTGTTTTAAAAATTCAAATCACAACACAAAACATTTCACAAAAGTACGCAATAAGAACAGAACCAAAAATAGTGACTTTAAAAAGAGGATTTGCATGTGAATTTGAAGTCTATTTAACGCCATATTGTTGTCTCAATTTGAATGACAAAGTTGCTATTATATCATTGGATTTGAACACAGGAATGTCATCAACATCTTTTGTTGGTATAAGTGCAAAAACAGAAAATTCCACACATCTAGATTACGACGAGTTAATAGAAGACAAGAAACTTGGTGAAGGATCTTTTGGTATTGTGTATAAAGGAAATTACAGAGGAAATGTTGTAGCAATTAAAAAGATGAAACAAATTGACAATTCATTAGATGACAATTCGATTGATGAATTTACAAAGGAAGTTGAAATGCTTGACAAATTCCGCAGTGAGTATATCATTCATTTCTATGGCGCGGTGTTTATACCAAACAAGATATGTATGGTCACCGAATTTGCACAATACGGGAGTTTACAAGATTAATTAAAAACAAAACAAGTGAAGAAGTTGAAATGAAAATGAGGGTTAAAATGATAGTAGATGCGGCAAAGGGAATATCATATTTGCATAAAAATGGGATATTACACAGAGATATCAAACCAGACAACATTCTTGTGTTATCTTCAGATTTAAATGATAAAATCATTGCTAAGTTGACTGACTTTGGAAGTGCGAGAAATGTGAATATGATGATGACCAACATGACATTCACAAAAGGTATTGGAACACCAAAGTATATGGCGCCTGAAGTATTAAAACAAGAGAAATATACAAAGAGTGCTGATATTTTTTCATTTGGAATAACTATGTATGAAGTGGTTGGGTGGTGTAAAGCATACCCAACAGAGACTTTTAAATTTCCATGGAAAATTGCGGAGTTTGTGATGTCAGGAAAGCGACTTGAAAGACGTGAAAATATACCCGTCAATTTGTATGAAATAATTCAAGCGTGTTGGGTTCGAGAAAAAGCAAACAGAGTCTCCATTGATGAAATAGTTAATATGCTAATAATATGATTTTTTGGTTTTTTATTTTTTTATAAACTGTTTTTTAAAAGTTAATTTTGTTTTTTAAAACTTCCTAAAATCCTGTATTTTATTTTTGTTATTTAAAAAAAATAAAAATCAAAAAATCAAAAATACAATCTTCATTTTAAAAATCATACAACTTTTTGTTCCCCAAAAAACATAAAAAACAAATTAACTAATACAAAATTAAAGGATGGACCGATTTTATTATGTATTCAGTTACAAATATTCAAGGAAATGTTATTTATTATATGAAAAAATACTCCAAACATAAAAATGGTCACTTTAAAATTAATAATTAATGCTTTCAAGTTTAGTGACAACATCATTGATTCCGAGTCTTTTGTAGACATCTTGACACCACATATCGTTCACGATGTCATATATGTCTTTTTTCATATGAAATTGTTCTTTCAGGCGTTTTCCACTCACAACAAAATCGACAATGTCCCAAGCAAACTTAAATCGTATTTTGGGATATGGTTCTTTCCATGTCACACATTCAAACAAAGAAACACCAAACGAATAGACATCAGCTGGTTTCTTGTATTTCTCTTTGTTCAGTATTTCCAGCGCCATATATATTGGAGTTCCAATACCTTTTGTGAATGTCATGTTGGTCATCATCATATTCACATTTCTCGCACTTCCAAAGTCAGTCAACTTAGCAATGATTTTATCATTTAAATCTGAAGATAACACAAGAATGTTGTCTGGTTTGATATCTCTGTGTAATATCCCATTTTTATGCAAATATGATATTCCCTTTGCCGCATCGGTCATCATTTTTATCCTCAGGTTCATATTTACTTCTTCAGTCTTTTTGTTTTAAACAAATCTTGTAACGACCCGTATTGTGCAAATTCGGTGACCATACATATCTTGTTTGGTATAAACACCGCGCCATAGAAGTGAACGATATACTCACTGCGGAATTTATCTAACATGGAAACTTCATTGTTGAATTCTACCATTGACTCATTATCATTAAAAATAGTTTTCATCTTTTTGATTGCAACAATATTTCCTCTAAAAATTCCTTTATACACAACTCCGAAAAATCCTTCACCAAGTTTTTTTGTCTTCATTCAATTCATTGTAATCAATTCGTGTTGATTGTTGTGTCACACTGACAAGTGATATCTTGTTGTATTTCTTATTGTTTGTTTTTAAATTTTTGGAAATCAATTGAAATGTACTGTTGATTTTGCAAGAACACAATAGCGTGACAAAAACAGAAAATTCGCATGAATAGCCTCTTTTAAGTGTGAAAACTTCTGGGTCAACACGAATTGTAAACTTTGTGATGTTTGATGAAATTGTAAACTGTATTTTTATGGCGTTTTTGTTTGTGTTTCCAACACACAACACCTGCCGCGTCTTTTTGTTAACTTCAATTTGTTCAATGTCTGAATTTAAGTCGATCAGATCTAAAGAAACACAGACACCTTCCTGGAGAGGTATAAATTTAATGTTGGATTTGTTCATTGCAAAGAGTGTCGTTGTCTTATTGATTTTGTGTGTGTGAATTTTGTTGAGAATAATCTTTGTTAATACGACAATTGAAGCAATTAATACAAATAACACTCCAAAAACAAACAAACCCGCCACTAGAATGACCCACCAAACAGTTTGCGATTCACACGATGCGCCATCTTCACTTGGGATGTACCAAAAAGAACACTTTATTCATTTTGACATTTTGTCATTTGTGAAAGGCCAACACAACTTCCATTTGCAATTAACACATGTGAATTAATACAAGAAGTACGTTTGTTGTTGATGTGCATGTATAGCAGTTGTCATCACACCTTTGACACTCGTTTGTGTTGACTGTATAATACCCATCTTAACACTTTGAACACCCACTTTGTGTAACCTTTATTGCACACCCAATGATATCACGTTGTGGCAAACAGTCACCGCCATTTGTTTTGTAATTAGTTGAATTACAAGAAAGACAACCAATTTTGTAGTTGCATGTGCTTTGGATCACATTCATAACAATCAAAACCAACTCTGTAATACCCGTCATTGCATATAACACAACCACTTCCAAAACTAGCGAATTGTTTACATGTAAATTTTAAATTTTCATTTGTGTTGCAATTGTAATTTGACAAATACATGTTTTGTGGACAACTGAGACACTTTGTTTTTTTTTAAAACAATTCAAACAATTTAGATCGCAATTAACACATTTTTTTGTTGACTCATCAAAATAAAAAACTTCAGCACATGTTAAACACCCTAAACTGTTATGTACAAAACAATTTTTTACTTCATACGTTTTACATGTGTTATTTGATAAATAATATTTATTTTCACATTCGTAACATTTCCCATTTGATTGCTATTTGCAATTGTCAATTGATGAAGTACACTTTTTATTTAGGTCATTTGGAAATACACAATCATTCTTTTCACACTTTTCATTGGTGTTCATTTGACTTTATTTGTTGCACTTTGTTACGTTTCCATTTTCTCACATTTCAGAATTAATGTATAAATCATTACACTCCAAACAATTTGTTGTGTTTAATACAAAACCCATGTTACAAGAAATAGTGTTAATGTTTGTTGTAATCTTACTGTTAATATCACTTTCGACATACATTCCAATTTTGTTAATATATTTGTTATTAATGTTGCATATTTGACAATTTTTATCAAATTGAACAAGTAAAAAAGTTACATTACTTACACACGAACCACATTATAATGAAAAACCAGTTGAACATTTAAAGCACGTGTTTGATATGGTATATTCACAATTTGCAATTTGTTCACATTTTGAGTTAACAACAGCAAATTGACTTTTGCAAGATAAACAATTAATTTTATTGAAAAGACAATACTTACAATTAACATCATCACAAATGGTTAAGTTTTCAAAAGTTTAGACGTTTTGTTGTATATTCCATTAATGCATCTTAAAATAATTATTTTAAAATTATCATTTGTGTTTATTGCTGCGTTGAATTGTTCATCTTTAAATGTTAAATTTGTCTCTGAAACTATAAGTACAGTTTTTGTCAATAAAAACAATTTTATTTTAATTGTTTGTTTTGTTGAAATACCAAGAACTACATTTATCCTTTTGTAAAATCAAATTTGAGTGTTATCAATTGAAATACTTTCAGATGAAAACGTGTCAATATTTTTTAATTGTGGTTTTAAACTTGTTTGGGTTGGTTTGATTTTAACATACAATAACGTCACATTTTAAGAGGAGTGATATACCAATTTTCTGTATTATTACATGGACAATATGGTTCACTATATTTCATTTTTTTGTTTGCCACAAAATTAACATGACAAAATATTTATTTGAAATACCACATCTTAACATTTTACCATTCAATAACAATTTAGTACCAGCTAAAGTTATTTTTGTAATTGTTATATATAACCATGAAATATCAAAATTAGTATCTGATTTTATAATTGTGTTTGATATATCCAATGCTTTTAAGCCGGAATAAAATACAATTGGAAGATCTCTGATATCCCTATTACTTACTACAAGTGTAGAGTTTACAAACACAAATTCATTCCCAACACCAATTAAAGATTTTCCAGTCATATTGAGTACGCTTGTATAACGGAAACTATCAATATTTGAACAACTTTGGTAACAGCTAACATATTGTAACAACAATGTGGGGATTTGTAATGTATCTAACATTCCATTTAATTTTATTACACCGCCTTTGTGAACATAAAATGAACCTACGCCGTTAATTGTTAAAAAATTGTTTAATGTAAAATATGCTTTATTAACTCTGACTTTTTAATTCTTACATTATTGTTATTGATGTTGATTCTAGAGTAATTTTGATTAATAACGACCGAAACATTGTCATTAATATATTAAATTGTTCATTGAATAATAAAGAAGAGTTGTCTTTAATTGTTAGTTGAGAATATCCCATCATTATATTAATATTGTAACTGTCCCAATGCGATGTTTCACACATTATAACACCGGAGAACTGTTGGAAATAAATTATATTTATTGTTATTAATTGTGAGTTATTATTCAGTTCTAATTTTGACGAATTGTAAAAGTTGGTTTCTTGTGTCAAATTTAATTCTGAATTTTCATATTGTACAATTGATCCATTACCAACACAACCAATATTTCAATTCATTCGTACATTTGCATTAAATATCATTTTGAACTGAATGATATCGAAAATAAAATATTACCAATTGTTATGTTATTGTATGCTGTACAGGTATCAGATAGTAGTATTTTCCAAAATAGTGTTTGGAAACCTGCAATTTTGTGAAAATGTGTATATTATCAAAGTAAACCATAAATAATTGTCAACAGGTATAAACAAAATATTCATTCTGATAATAAAAAGTTTTTACATTCATTTTATATATGTAACATTTATTAATCACTTTGAAAATAATAATTTTATATAATGGTCAGACACATGAAAAATTTAATAAATTTTTATTCGTAATTATTACTTGAAATTATAGTTGACATTAACTTTTAGTCTAACCACTATTGAATTTGTAATTATTACATTCAAACATATAAACACAACTAAAATAATACACCTTTTTATCGTACAATTAATTATGAATGTGGTGTTTCAAATAACTGTCAATATTTAAAAGAATTTAATTTTAAATATAAAGTTTAAAAAAATGTATAGTATATTAAAATATTAGAGCAAATAATTATTTAAACTAAATAATAAACAATTTTAAATGATGCCCCTTAAAATAACATTAATTGTTAACCGTTTTTATTTTCAATTTGGAAAAGTACAAAAAAACCATTGTATTTTTATTAAAATCAAAATATAAACATTTTTGCATTTAAAATATTTAGGAACTTTTGATAACTTGTAAAACACAATCTTATCAAAATTAAGCATTCACTGTCAAATTTGTTGATTTTTAAATCATAACATTATGATATATATGTCAAAAATTAAAACAAATATTCCATTTTTAACTAATTTTATATTATTACAACATTTCATTGTTGTAAATTTGTTGTTAAAAAAAAGATACATTTTTTATAATTATTTTAAAAAACATTAACTTAACAACAATTTAATCATATTTATTTTACATAAACTCGTTGACAACAAAGAATTTTCATTACTATTGACAAATTCAATTTGTTTATAATAATAAATTCTAAATGATTATATAGTTCAATACATTATATATTAAATATAAATTGGATTGTTTAAAAAACAATTTTAAAATGATTATTTAAAATCTTTACCACAACCGCTTATAACAAAACAAAATTTTTGCCACGATTATTTTCCAAATAAAGTTCATACTTGTGTCTAGTTTGTTCGTTTTGTGTCATTTGCGTTTTTCATCATTAACAATATGTGGACTTCATGTCGTTTCTATTTATGCTTTAAAACTTTACAACCACGCCAAGGGAAAACACATAAAATGTGTCTGATCGATTTTAACAAATAGTTTGATTGCTTTTTGTTTTTTAGCGTTTTTTATCACTTGTTGTGCAAAAGTAGATTTAATTGTTTTGTATTTTATTTTTAAATGAACTAACCTTTAACACCAAAATCATTTTTATTTACAATAAATTTAATTGGATTAATTAATTATTTTAAATAAAAATATACTTTATTTTTGAGAGTATATAAATATAAAAAAGTACTGACTATTATTAATCAAAAAAATTCAGTTGTAAAGTTTAAATTGTAATTAAAATAACAAACGTTTTTATTCATACATTTTATGTGTATTTTATTCTAAAAATTTTTAATTAGAGTCATTCTTAAAACCGTGCAACTTTGACGTGTCAATGCAACTTTGTTTATAGTATAATTATAGTAAAAAATTTATATGTTTTTTAGAAACAAAACAAGAAAACACAAACAAATTTCTTTTAAACTATTACTCTAATTAATATACTATAACTAAACTATAACTAAAGTTGCATAATTTTTCTCAATTAGTTTTTTGGGTTGCACCATTCAACTGCCTTTTGTTTACCTAATTTTTGCAGCAAAAAAGTCATTGAACCACATGAATTGGCTTGTCTCATTATTTTATTATTATAAAGAGATGTTTAACATCTGCGCCATCCACAATCGATATACAACGCCGTTTTATTCGTTTTGTATGACAATTGGAATTCTGAAATTTTTATGCTTTTTAATTAAACAAGCAGTTAAACTTATCATTTAAATATCGAGTTATATTTTATGTTGATTTATAAACTAATTCTACTTTTTGTTATATATGTAACACTATTTTTTGTTTTTTGAATTGAAAAAAAATTTCATAAATGATTTATGTTATTATAATTTTAAAAATTTCCCGTTTTTGCATTAAAAAATATTTTATTTAACACGTTCACGTTCCATTTATTTTTTGTTTTATAAAAAAAATTTATTGTTAAAATTTTTAAATTTTGCATTTTTTATTTTTGAAATAATAGTTGAAATAACCGTTCGCATTCCCGACAACATTTTTTTGCAACGATCTTAGTAAAATAACAATAAGACATTACAACAAAAACAACTAAGATTTTTGAATTGATTCATTTCTTACCTTTTTTGAGATAATAAAGTACTCTGTGAATCTACCCATATTTTTAATTGGTCTTTATGTTTCATTTACGCACACCTTTCCCCTACACACAACACAAAGAATAAAATGTGTTCCGCGACAATGCCTTTTGCAGGCATAACACTTATACTACGGACAATACATTTAATTTAATACATTTTAATATTCATTAAACTCGGTCGCGTAAACGTGCGCGTAAATGACCCACAAGTCAAAAATCATGTGTCGAATGTCGATTTAAACACAACAGTGTTACAATCGACGACCTTATTTTCATTGTTTTTTAATATTTTTGGTGTTTTTACAATAATTAATAATTTCAAGATAAGTATTTATTTTTAAAATATTATTGAAAATAATTGTTTAAAAACAAAAATGCAAAATAATTCGATTGGTAAAGCAAAAAAATTGTTGTTTTAAAATGTCTTTGGAAACAGAAACGTGTTAAAAATCGGTAAAATTACTTTTTTTATTTAATATAATTGTTTTTAACGTTTAATATTTGCAAAACATTGCACAAACTAAAAATGGAAAATATAATAATTGCTATATACCCTAATAAAAAGATTCAATTTGAATACAAGAGCATCACTTTATGTGTGAATTAAAAACAATAATTTGTAATTTTTCTTGTGTTTTAATGATGATAATATTGTAACACAATGTTTAACCCTTCCAATACCAGAAAATTGATTGTTTTAACACACATATATATTACTTTAAATTTAAATTTTAAAGTAAGAATTGTAAATAAACAATAAATTATAATTATTTTGAATAATAAAATTATTAACTTTTATTTTTCAAAATTTTTAACTTGATTATTAGAAAAAATTAAAATTATAATAATAATTTAAAATGATTATTTTCGTGTTAAAAAATTAAGTCAAAATTCAAAGTCTACTATTTAAACAAAAAAAACTGATATATCAATTAATTCACTGATTATGACAAAAAAACTTGAAGAATTCTATCTAATGAATGTGGTCTTGTACATGAACACATTTAATTCACTCTCAACTTTTTCGTGTATAAACACCAAATGTCAGTCAGTCCTCAATCGAATGCAAACAAATCCGTTACTTTCCGACAAATTTTCATACGACACAACGTATGAAAAGTCGTTGCGTCGTATGAATCAATTAAAAATTAAAAGTCCACAACGTAACATAATGGACTACTTATCACGAATAATAAAATTATTTCCAAATATTCAAACATTGTACCTCCCATCTTATAAATGTATAATTCCACAGCTATCTAAATTCAACATTTCGTTCATTAAAGTGAAGTCGTTTTATGATGAAAAAGATGTAATACCAAATGAAGGGTATGAAGGCACCTATATTACAAGACATGTGAGTTTTGTTTCATTTGAGAATTTTGGAACAACTTCGTTTTTTCAAAGAATTCAATCCGGAACACTTAATAATCTGAAAACACTCACTATTTACTCAAAAGAAACAGCAGACGATTTTTGAGAAACGCAAAATATTTCACGTCTTGTACTGAGATAACAATAACAGACGATGTGTCATTAACTAGAGATGTATATGGCAACAAAATCAAAAAAGAAATAACAAAGGAAACACAAACAAATATTAAACAAATGTGGGACGTTTTAGTGAACAATCGGAGTGTGTTGTGGAGTTTTCGTATTTTACGAAAAGTCCGAATTATTTTAAGAGACGAAACTCACATTCAGAAAATAAGCGAATTTACAAAGGGAGCTCCAAATCTTAATTTTTGTTTTTATATTAAACACATAAGTTCAATAACTAACAAAGTAACAGAAGACGTTGTTAAACAACTTAAAAAGTGTGGAAATGTCATATTTCGAACAATAGATGTTTTTCAAGAGTACATTGAATCAAATAATATGTTACAACTGCCTGTCACATTTGTGAACATATCAAAAACAATTGAAATATCTGAGAATTTGATCTCCAATCTTATTGTGTTCATTCAAATGTATGCGTTTGAGTTCGATGAAGTTCGTCTGAGTATAAAAGAACATGAAGAAGTCGATATGTCACAAATTGACTGCAAAAAGCTTGTTTTAGTCAATGATACTAAACGCAGAGTAACACTGAAAATATCACCAAAAACACGTGTTGTTGTATGTGATGAAAATGACCAATACGCACTTTGTTGCTCAAAAGATGTCACAATTACTCTTCAACAACACTTTGAGCCACAATTTCTGGATAAAGTGACCGATCCGGATTTTTTTGCATATTCAGATAGCCAAGATGATGACTCTGAAAACTCTGAAAATGGTAATATGGAATATGCGGACCCCAAAGTACTTGAACATTTACAGTTTGTAAAGAATGTGTTTATTCAAATGGAAGTCTTGGAATTCATTGAGAGTCCTATTGACGCTTCACGTTGTTTTAAAGTTACTCAAAGACCTTCAAATGTACCACAAACAATTGACTATCAAAATTTCTTGATGTTAAAATATAGCAGACAAAAGGATAACCAATACATCCCAAGTAGAAATTTGCAACTATTGGTTAATTGCTCAATTAATTTGATTTCGCTGGAACTGGAAAAGATCGGTGGTGATAGTGTCACTACCAAACAAAATGTCGATTTAAGCAAATTTCAATTACAAGAACTTCATTTGACAAGATGCAAAAATTGCATCTTTCATCTACCAAGTACATTGACAAAACTTTCATTATATGATGTGTGTGATTCGTGTTACAGTAGTAAGGAGACTATCTACCTCAAGTCGTTTTCAATGAATTTTGTGGAGGATTATCATTTAGACTCAAAATATCTTTATAACAATCAGAACATAGTGATTGACTACCCAATTCAATTAGACGAATGTGAGGTATACCCTGACGAAAATATTTACAACAACACAACTAACAATTATTTATTATTATTTATTATTATTATTATTTACATCAACACCAATGGGATGTAACACATTCAAAGAGACTAAGGCTTGGAACAAACAGTGGAAAGACTGTATGAGTGCTGATGACAATACAAAAAAGGAACAATTAAAGAAAATGATGAAAGAAACTATTTGTGTACTTGAAGACAGAGCTTTTCAAGGAAATATTTCTTTTCGTTTAGAAGCAATGGGTGGCATTAAGGAAATAGGCAATTTTTGCTTTAAGAATCACAGCGATCAATATTTGACTACGTTGGATCTGCCTTATGGCCCGACTAAAATCGGCTACGGCGCATTTGAAAATATCACAACACTCACTTCTGTACATCTCAATGATATCACAAAACTTCCATACAAGTGTTTTGCAGGAGATATTAATTTAATTGAAATCACATCGCCACTTGAGTCAGTTGAAGTCGAAGACTACGCTCTTTGGAAGTGCTGTAGTCTTGTAAGACACCCCAAGTTTGTTCCGGCTAAAGGAGCCAAATTGTTGGACAATTCCATTGTTAAATCGTGCAATTTAAAACATCTTGAATTGCCTGAAAGTGTCGATGAAATCAAAAATTGGTGTTATAAAAATTATACAATGCTGGAATCTGTTAAAATCATCAACGAAAGTTGTTTGATTGGAAAACAGTGTTTCATGGGATGCAGTAACATCCAAAGTATTCAAATTGAAGAAAGTGTGGTGTTTGACAAACACCTCGTCTTTGCAAATTTATCATCACTCACTTCTTTACATCTTCCAACAACACTAACTAAAATCAGAAAATTTATGTTCAAAAATTGTCGAAAACTTGAAGATGTTGTTATGAGAAAAGGAATACACAAAATCTGTGATTTGGCGTTTCAAAATTGTGAAACATTGAAGATAATTGATATCCCAAAAAGTGTCACAAAAGTAGGACCCTCGAGTTTCAAGGGGTGTATTTCTTTACATAAAATTGGGTGTTTACAGTTGCTTCATTTTTCAACATCAAGTTTGTGTGGTGTTGATGCAACATTTAATTATTATTAATTCTCGACTTTGTTTAATTATTTATCAATATCAAACTATAAATATAACGTATTTTAATAATAGTTTAATCTAAATATTCACACATAAAAAGACTTAAAAATTTTTTCATTCTAATTTAAAAATCGCTGTAATCGTTTTAATTTACTTTAATAACTTTGGTTGAAATTAAAATAGTTGTAAAGTGCATCACAAAATGGTCGACCACCGTAAAATGTTCGTACGGCTTTTAAAACAAATTATTTACTCAAAAGGTTCACTTTGAAAACGGTTTTTTTGGAAAATTCAATACGAAGGACTTTTTGTTCTGTTTTGTTTTTTTGACTATTTTTACGAAGATATTTTCATAATTAATATTTTATTCATCAACCTTAAATCGTTATTCTAAAATTTATTTTTGTTATTTACATTATTACCTTTATTTTGTCATAAATAGAAAAGTATAGTTTTTATAGTTTCACTGACAATTGATAATTTTTGAACTTGGTTTTTTAATTTGATATTCATAAAAATAAAGCAGAAGATGTACCATCTTATCTTTTATACACTGTTTCGACTGTACGATTATTTTTCTGTCAATTGTTGTATTATATTAGATGTATCAATTAAATAAAAAGATTTATAAACTCAGCTATGTACATTCAATATAAAAAAACGAACTCATATTATTGATTAAAACAGCTTTATTGTTTAATAATAAAAGATTAATATCGATATATATTCGGAATGGTACTGTTTGCAATAACAACTGTATATTTTTTCATTTATCGAGGATTCTCCAGAGGAGGAATTACAAACTCCACATTTCTTGTATTTCTTTTTTGGATGTATAATATGGTTAAAAAGTAAAAAATTTAAAAAAGAAAACAAAAAATAATCATTTCTAAAAAAAGAAAAAAACTATAGATATAGTTAGTTTTCTACATAGTTAATTAAAAATCCTAATTCATAATATATTATTAACAAAAAACTTACATAAAATAATAAAATATAAAACGTGGTAAATCGGGTATTTAGCCTATTTTCTAACCGTAACACTATAAAAAAACATCATCTAAAACAAACCTTATGTTAATCTAAATTTAAAAACTGTAAAATAAGATTATAAAATTGTAGATTATTATTTTGGTATGCAAAATATTAACATTTAAAACATGAAGAAAGGTTTATTCACAAAAAAAAACGAAAAAAAGAATATATTTTTTGTGATTTTTTTAGACTCAAAAAATTTAAAAATTGACATCGCTGACAAACCCCATGAATTTTTGTTTGACCATAAAAAATGCCATTTAATATAAACGTTATATTTTTTAATTTTTAAAAATTGTAAAATTGGATTATAATACAGTATGGTCATTAAACCTTATGTGAAACCTTGAGGCTTATGCGATTTTTTAGAATAATTTTTAGTATTATTATTATTATGAAAAACTATACAAAAATAAATCAAATCATGAGTTATTTAAGTTATTTCCATATATATTAATAAAACAATCATTTTTATGAAGAAATAACATCAACATCAATTTAGACGATCCAGATCAAAGTATGTACTGAACAATGTGAACATAATTAAGATTTCTTATCTTAAACCCGATTTGTGGCTTTATGTCTCTTTGTTTTTTAAACAATCGGGATATGAATAAAAAAATTTGACCATGGTGTGATATAAATTTTAAATAGTTTTCAATAAAAACGAGTTATAAGACACTTAACAAATAACTTCTTTGCGTCTGCAATGATTGTGTCTATCTGCTCCTTTGAAAGTCTTCCAGCTGCTACACATGACTGTGTTGTGTTCAAAACTCACTAGTCGAGTGTACAATGATGGTTGCTTCAATTGCCGCCTTGTCGTCTGGTGAGAGCTTTGCTGCAATTTGCTCATTGAGTGTGTTTTTCATCGAGTAGCATAGTTCTCAAGTCCATTCTTCGCCTCGACCAGTTCCTTCATCTTGTCGTCCTCTGCCTTGAGCTTCTCTGCGTCTTCAACCATCTTGTCTATTTGCCCCTTTGCAAGTATTCCCTTGTCGTTTGTGATTGTGATCCTGTTCTTCTTTTACATGTTGTCTTGTCTTCAGCCGAGACAATTTGCATCCCATTTGCATCAAGGTGAATGTGACTTCAACTATGGGACTCCACATGGTGTTGGTGGGATACCAGACAACTCAAACTTGCCAAGCATGTTGTTGGGTGATTTCATAGATGCCTCGCCTTCGAAGACTTACATGAGCACGCCGGGCTGGTTGTCTGCATATGTTGAGAAGATCTGTGACTTCTTTGCTGGTAGAAGACAACACGTCTTTTGTTGCCTTCTACCATTTACTTTACTCGCTTTTTGTATAGAGAGTGTGATATATTAGTTCATTTTAGTTCAACTCCTTTTGTTGATTTTGATTTTGTTAAATTGTCTTCTTATATTTTCCAAATCAATCTTTTTTATTTTTGTAATCGCATAAGGCTCATAGTTCAGTTTCTCTGTTTTTTTGTATAAAACAGTGTTTTTTGCCTTTTTAATAATAAAAGTATTGATTTTTTTCTATCATTTATAGTTTTTTATATTTAGAAAATCGCATAAGGTTGCGGGTATCACATAAGGGTGAATACCACATCTGTAATTGTAAAATATTTATAAGTGAAACATATTGTTTGATGTGCAACATATCTAAATTTAAACAATTTACATAACTATCAACAAAATAATATTAATAAGGGAAATTTTTATGGTCTATTATTTGTAAAAAATCTTTGAGGAGTAACCATTATATATTATAGTTAGTTAACGGTATACCATGTGGGATAACTGAGATAATTGACTTATAAACTATATATTTACTAAGCCAATTATAATAAATATATTTATTTATTAATTGAAATTATAACAATTTTTGTTTATAACTATTTCACTTATTAATTTATTAACTATACTACACTATAATTATATATTATAGTTAATTTATATTATTTAATATATTTGTTATATTTTTAAATTGTTTCTAAATTATAATAAAAACGTATATTTATTATAATTGGGTTAGTTAGCTAATCATAGTACACTTAGCTAAAATATAGTTTAGTTAACCAACTATAAAGAAAAAAAAATGACCCGTTTTATTAGGGTTTTTCAAAACTAATTTTTGATAATAAAAGTCTCTGGTGCGAAGCCTAGTATTTAGATTACCTTAATCAAATATTGTGTTTTTTTTAAAACGAAACAATTTGTTGTAAAATCTTTTTAAGTAGAAGTTATTATTAAGCTCTTGTCAAAAGATTTTATATCTTGACCAATATATATTTGTTTTTTATCACAAATGTTATTGTTTAAAAGATATATTGGAAATCGTTATTGGGAACAATTGCAATTCATAATAAATTGATTTATTGATTACATTATAAATTTAAACAACGAAATATAACATATTTTGTTCTTTATTAATTCAAGTAAAAAACTTGTTAATCATTTATTTGTAATGATAAGATTGTTTTTTATATTTGTGTTGATTACTTTGGCGTTATCAACATGTCCACCAAATGAAATACAAGACATTGAATATGTCTTAACTGAAAATGAAGTGTGTGAATATTCAGAGTCATTAACAATTTCATCTATTAAATTACAAATGACAACTGGCTCGACTTTAAAAACAGAAAAAAATTTGGAACTTGTAGGAGGACAAATCACACTCGAAACAAATTGCATTTTGAATGTTTCTGAATTGTTGAAAATGGGATATGAAAGTATATGTAATGCGAATGGTAATTCAATTATAAATACCAATAAATTGGAATTAAGTTCATCAACAATAAATCTTGAAGATACTTCAATTATAAATACAAATCAATTAGAATTAAGTTCATCAACAATAAATCTTTCTGGAAATTCCATGCTGAATTCTGTTAGGAATGTCATTTTTGAAACCTCTTCATTTAAACTTTCTGAAAATGCCCGCCTTTTAGTACAAGGTAATATATCTTTAACTGGTTATATAACTCCAAATACACTTTTAGGAAAATCAAGACTTACTTGTTTAAATTTGTTTTCCAAGATAGTTGGCAGTCAATTTTCAACCAATGAAAATTCATATGTTGAGTTGCAAGGCTCTTTTATTTTTAAAATATTCAGAGATTCTTTTCAAATATCAAGTTTGACACAACGAATTAATTTTGTATCAAAATCATTTGAATTAACAAGAGAATTTGTTGCTGATAATCGAAGTACAATTCAAACAAAAAATCTCATTTTAACTTTGACAAGCACATTTAAAGTCTCCACAGAGAGAACAATCAAAGATCTTCCACTCTTTTTTGTATCGAACACAGTTACAATAACTGGGTTCAGTGGTTTTACACACGATGGCGATTTCGACTTTTTGTATTCAAACAACACACTTGACACGACATTGTACACAACCCCATTCAAAGTACTTTTAGATAGTCACCTATTACGGTATGGTGCTTCAGATAAGATATATTGTCATGTGAACCACACGGAAGACACACGATATCCATATTACATCGAAAGTTATTGCCCACTTACCGATGCATACATCACACCAATTGACACTTTTTATCAAATGAAAGTCAAAGTAGATGTGCCAAAACAGAGTTTAAATGTAAAAAATGCAGAAAACGAAGAAAATGTTATTGTGATTGGAAACCAAAAATACGATTTGTCACTCCCCGAATTTATTGAGATTGAGATCGTGTCTGACAAACAAGTAGATTTAGATAATTTTACAATCACAAAAAACGTTTTTCTCGTTGCAGCGAATGGGTTTGAATACAACAACACGTTGTGCAAGTCGGGGTACTTCCAAAACGGCATTTTCATCTGTCAAAATCATTTACCATGTTCTGAGGGTGGTAAGACCACCGATGGAAGATGTGCAGCATGTCAAGTCACAAATTGTGTGATGTGTGATGGTGACAAAGGCAATTGTATGAAATGCAAAGAGAATTTGACATACAATACCAATACAAACACATGTGAAAAATACACAAACTGTCTTTCATTTACAGAAGACAAGTGTCTTCGATGTAACGATGGCTTTGTATTTGAAGGTAACAATTGTGTTAATATCACTGAAGACAACAGAAATTGCCAGATTGAAGTCGGCGTTCCGTCAGAGTGCAGAATGTGTGATTTAACAAACACTACATTAATCAACACTAATGGCGTTTGCAGTGTTGTAGACAGCAATGTTGTTGTTCACAGTCTTTCAAATGTTGTTGAATGCAAAGATGGGTTTTATGTACAAAACAACGTGTGTAACGACTGCACAACTAACAACGATGGAAGTTTGTTGTGCTCATCCAAAACCATTGAGAAGTGTGATAAGACGTATTACGTGAAAGAAGATGGCAGTGTTTGTGTCAAAAACGTGTGTTCAGAAGGAATAAACAATGAAGAGAATGGGAAATGTGCGCCACAAATAGACAACTGTGTAAAGTATGTGAATGGTATGTGTGTCGAATGCTCTTCAAAGTACTCATATGATGGCGATGTTAGTTGTGTTGATCAAACAAAAGTTGATGTGAACTGTGGAACAGCAACTCCGATTGGGTGTATCAGATGTGATGGAAATACCTTCCTGAATGTAATGACACACAAATGTGACACGTGCAACTCAATTTGTGAAAGTTGTTTGGATACGACGATGTGCCTGTCATGTGTAGATGGGTACTTTTTGAGTGACCACATCTGCAAATCCAATGATGAGTTGAATGACACTTGTGCACGAAAGGTGCCAAATGGGAATGGCTGTTTGGAGTGCAAAGTTGGGTATTACAAGAAGGGAGCAGATTGTGCACATTGTAATGTCAAGTGTGGTGAGTGTCTGACAGAGAACTCGTGTATTAAATGCAATGCAACAACCTACAAAACGAGTAATGGCGATTGTCTTCCGCGCTCTTCAATATCGACGTGTGCCGTTGAAGTGACTGAAAGTGGCTGTTCAATGTGTAAAAACGGGTATTACACTGTCAATGGAAATGAGTGTCAGAAGTGTGTTGAAAGGTGTGCAAAGTGTTCAGAACAATATCGGTGCACATCATGTGATGACACATATGTACTCAAAAGCACCATGTGTGTGAGTTATAACACCATCACAAAGTGCACAAAAACAAAAGACTCAAAATGTTCTTCATGTACATTTTGGTATTCACCAAGTGACGATGGCACATTTTGTTCAAAGACAGCAGTGTGGTGGGTGATACTTCTTATAGTTGTTGTTATCATCGCCATTCTTGTGTTGATCATAGTGTTGGTCTCCTTTGTAATGGTTAAAGTCATTAAGTACAAAAGAGATACCAGTGGACTCACACTCTTCAAATTAAAGCACACAAATATGATTTTCGTTAAAATGGCAGACGGTCTGACAATTCACACCAGAAATGAAGAATTTGTGATCACCGATGATGACCAAGACTATGAGGAAATTGATGTTAACAGAGAAATTAAAAATCTGTTTTCGATTGGAAACACAACAAACCATAAAGTAAAGATTCAATTCACCACTAAAAACGATATTGAAAAATACACAATCCGTTTTGAACCTTCAATTGCAACAATTCCTCCAAAGTTCGCATGTGAATTTAGTCTATTTCTTAATCCATTGTGTACATCGACAATAGACAGTACTTTTATTGTTAGTTATCTCTTTACCACTAGTGATAATATATCGTGTGCACATCATGTTAATTTTAAATACACCACCAAACTATCAACACGACTTGATCCAGACGAGTTGGTTGAAGAGAAGAAACTCGGAGAAGGCTCTTTTGGAATTGTGTTTAAAGGTATTTTCAGAGGAAATATCGTTGCTATCAAAAAAATGAAAAATATAGTCAATTCTTCACATCAAATGGAAGAATTTGAGAATGAGGTATTAATGTTAGACAAGTTTAGAAGTGAATATATTGTTTACTTTTATGGCGCTGTATTCATACCAAACAAGATATGTTTAGTCACTGAATTTGCACAATATGGAAGTTTACAAGACTTGATGAAAAATAAAAAGAGTGAAATTATTGATATACAACTTTGTGTCAAATTCATGTTAGACGCTTCAAAGGGAATTTTATATCTTCATGAAAATGGGATGCTACACAGAGACATCAAACCAGACAACATCCTCGTGTTGTCGTTAGATTTGAATGACGTGAACGCCAAATTGACTGATTTTGGAAGTGCTAGAAATGTCAATTTATTGATGACTAATATGACCTTCACAAAAGGAATTGGAACACCAATTTATATGGCACCTGAAGTGTTGAAACAGGAAAAATACACGAAAAGTGCGGACGTGTATTCATTTGCAATAACCATGTTTGAGTGTTTTTCTTGGTAAGAGGCATATCCTATCACCACATTTAAATTTCCTTGGAAAATTGCAGAGTTTGTTTCATCTGGAAAGCGTCCTGATAAAAGTGAAACAATCCCAATTGTGTTGTATGAATTGATACAAAATTGTTGGGGACAGAAACAAAAAGAGCGATATGATATTCATCGCATCGAAGAACAGTTGCAATCTCTGTTTAACCATCAATAACAAGATTATTGAGACAATAAGCTATAAAAATAATTGACTTTAACTAGTGATACAAATAGCAATGGTTTTATATGAAGTGAATATTATTTTAAATAGGATAGAAATATAATTATTTTTTAAGTATTATTCAATAATAAAAGTGTTATCTTTACTTTTACTAATAATATTAATATAATTTATAATATATATTATAATAAATTATAGCACTGGAAAATACCAAATCATTTTTAACAACACAGTTTTATAATTTGATTATTTCATTGATTGAATTAATCATTTTTAATTAAAATAACTTAATAATCAATGACATTTTCAAACATAAAATAAATACAAAGTCTGTAATTATTTGTATTTAAATAACTATTTATTGTTAAAAACAAGTACTATTATTTCACATATGAGTGGAATTCATTTTTGTGTTTTTAAAAATACAATTACTTTTAAATTAAAAATAAATATTATCGAAACAAAAAGTTTATAATTTTTTGATAATTAACACAACAAAATTAATATCTATTATTGATTTTGACTTCATTTTGTTTTGGTATTACCAATTTATTATATTTTCATTAACTTGGTTTATATTTCAAATAACAAATTGTTGCCATTTCGTTTGAAAATCACGCAGAAATACCTTCCTATTTTTCAAATAAAATCGCTTGAACAAACTTTGAATAATAATGTGTTTCCACACTATTTTTTCTTCCGTTGTTCTATTATTCATCTTTTTCATTCTCTTTGTTCTGATAACTCCAACACAACACGACCTTTCTTATACATATTCTTTTTCATCGCCGAGTGTCAGTGGAAGTAATCAACACATCGACATTCATCACTTGATGTATTCAACACCAATTTTACACACAATAAGTCGACGGGTATGTTTTATTACAAAAATAATTACATTGACGTTTTCAAATTCAATTACAGTGGGGTGTGTGGTGATGTCTTCAAATATGGTCCAAATACTAAAAGGGATTTGGTTATTGGGTCATACGATTTCAAAAACAAATGTATCAGAGAGTCTGTATTCCAAGCACTTGAAATGACACGAATTGCAATGCCCGATTGTCGAATTGTGTTTCTACTTTTCAGTTTAATACCATCAACTTGTGTTGGCAAATTTAAAAGGCTTTCAGACCTCCAAGTCGAGACTTATAAAGTGACAAGACACCTCTTCCAAGATGCTGTTGTTTTTAGATTCATTGCATTCAGAAATTATATAACTAAACACATCAACGAAATTGACCGTGTTGTTATTATTGACTTCAGAGACGTGCTATTCTTTGCAGACTTTTTCAGAACTTTTGGTGCAAATGAAGTCAATTGGCTACTTGAGTGCTATGGTACAAACGACCCAAACGACTGTTTTGGACCAGCCAACTTCCCAGAACACGCAAGGTGGATACGAAGATACATTTCGTCTTCAATTGCAGACGACTTTGTTCAGAGAAACATCTCCTCATTAAATGGTGGTTTTGCTTTTGGTGGCGTTGAAAATATTAAAGAGGTGCTCAACATATTATGTGATAATATGGATTGGGAAAAAATGATGTGGGAGTATGATCAAGCGTTACTTAACGTGTTGTATTACACTGGAAAATTTGAAAATGTTGGGCTGCAAGCAGTTGCATGTCAACAAAGAGTGTGTTATATTGGCATAAATGGATTCAGAGTCGAAAATAAAGTCATCTATTGGAACAACACATTATGCTCTACTGTGGCGACACACAAGTTTACAACCAATTCGACACATTGGAGGGTCAGGTAATATTATAACATATTTATAGCAATTAAATTTGGAGTGAGATATTTATGTTTAATCATTTATGTTTAAATTCAGAATAAAGTCGTTTTTATTTTTAACATTATCTTTCATTTCGACATTATAATACGTGGATATGATAGGGAAATTTTTTGTTCAAGCTATTAAATTATCAATTCTTTCGATTTTAATCATTTTTAAATTCAAAATAATTTGTTCAATTTTTGGCAAAGATATAACATTTTAAAAAAAGAGTTTTTTCAGCCCAAATTCACTAAAAATTACTTTTTTATTTTTTTAGAGCCTCTTATAAACTGTTAAATAAATTTAACATCAAAACAAAATATACATTAAAAAATATCTTAAACTTTTTGTTGATGAACAAAGAAAAATTAATAAATTGAAATCTACATAAAGAATTATTTCAAACAAATTATTACTTATTAATATATGGTATTGTGTTACAACACAACAATTGATATAATAACTAATATAAATTGGAATAAATAAATTAACTTCTAATTTGCTTTTACTGGTTTTTTTCAACTTATAATAATTTGTGCAATGTTTAGCAATAGGTTATAAAAAGACTAAAAATGATTTTGTTTTTTCTTTTATTGAAATAATTTTTGTTATGTAGAGAATAATAAATAATAATATAATTAAAAAGACAAATCGTTGTGAAGTAATTTATTAGGGACCCACTATAATAACCAATTTTAACTAAACACAATAATAATCTTTAAAAAAATGAGTATCAGAATGTAAAAATGGGTATGTGCTTTTTTGTTTAAGGATTTTTGTTTAATAAGTAATTAATGAGTGACTTTTGTTTAATTTTTTTATTATTAAAAATGATACTTTTTGTACTATTTTTTCGAATTTTTTCGGGAAATATATGGTTATTTTTAATAATTTTTTCATATTTTGTTTTTAATCATATTATTTTTAAAAAATGGCAACTTTTTTACATATGTTTTATATTCCTTGTTTATCACAACCACAATTTGTTTATCAAGATTGTCTATCCACACTACCAATTTTTTTGTTCAGGATCAAGTAGTTGGACCATCTAAAACTGTTGAAATACAAGAAAAAACAAATTTATCACAATTTGATACTACAGTTCGAGTCAACATAACAACAATATTAAGCACACGTGGTACTTATTTGCCTGTTGTTGATGATTGTGTGTATTATAAAGACGGAGCTTCACATGATGTTTTTAAATGCAGCTGTTATTCCAATGGCTGTAAAGTTAAAATCCGCATTGTTGAGTCAACTAAAATTGGGAACTAAACTCAATTTCTTTCTTACATAATGGTTAACAATTATACTCACAACAATCACACTGGCTCTCATTTACAAAAAGTTCAAGCTATTCAAGAAATTACTAAAAGAGCATTTGAACAAAGTCCATTGGTTCCACCATCGGTTGGAATGGCTGGGTACGACAATACGAAATACAAGGTAGGCTTTCAAGTAGTAAAAAACTATACCGAAAAAAAACGAAAGCAGTTTCACGATTTAACGGGTTTACTTGAAGAAAATGATCATTATAACGAACTCATGTTATTTAGAAATGATACAATTGCTATTTTTGGTAATAAAGAAAAACTTGTTAATTTTCAAAACATTACACAATTTTTAATGGATGGAACATTCAAAGCTTCACCGGAACCATATTATCAAAGTTATACAATACATGGTATACTAAATAATGGTGAATGTTTTCGACTTTTTCATTGTTTATTATTAGTGGATAAAAAAATAAAAACGTACGAAATGTTAATTGAAACTATAATGAAACTTGCTAGTGATTTGGGATTTATAATGTTTGGAAAAGGAATTATAACAATGGTAGATTTTGAATATTCTGTTATAAAAGCACTCGAGTCAAAAACTAGCACAACCGTCAAGGGTTGTTTGTTTCATTTTGGTCAATGTATATGGAGGTTTTGTTGTATGAATGGATTGAAAAATAGATTGAACAACGACATGGAATTTATTGAAGCTATTAATCAATTAAAATCACTCGCCTTTTTAAAAGAAAATGAAATCAAAAAGCAGTTTATTAAAAAGTATAACGTTATTAAATTAAGTGATGACAATCATTTAAAAATTGTTTATGAATACTTTAACAACAATTGGATATTTGGATTGTTCAAACCAAATTTGTGGTGCCAATACAATCAAAACCTTAGGACTAACAACAATGCGGAAAGCTATCATTCTGCTTTTATAAAAAGGACAATGAAAACAAATCCAACACAATGAATGTGGATTGAATGTGTCAATCAGGTAGAAACAGAAGAAAAACAGAGATACCAAACAATGATTAATGGAAATTTAACAAGAAAAAACAAAAAATATTCAATTCACAACAAAAAGATTAAAAATATCACTAACAATTATTATTCAAATGTGTGCTCAATCGAACAATTTTCAACAAGTATCCCAAGAGTTCTAAGCGATTTCAAGGATGAAAACAAATATGGATTAGATGATTATTTGAAAGAAGCTTGTTGTGACATTTATGAAAATGTTGAAAATAATAGTAATTCAGTCGAAGTTGTCCAATATGAAAAAACATTTATTGAAACTAATAAGTGTGAAGATGAAATAAATGTTGCGAAAACGGATAAAACTTGTTCTGATAAAATAAAAACGACAATACATAAAAAAGAATAAAAAGTGAATTATCAAAACTAATGAAACGGATCAATCGTGCAAAAGGTAACTAAACATTTTGAAATGTGAGTGAATTTTTGGTGTTGTTTATGTTTTATTAGTATTTAAGTAATTTACATATTTTTATTTAAAACATAAATGAAATATCGGTAAATAATTTGTAATACAAGTCTTAAACACGTTATAATTTTTTAAATTAAATTAAAATGACAATTATAAACTTCATTATTATTTAATGTAACTTTAATACATATCTTACGAATATAACATTTTTCTATTATATACTAACACTAATACAATTTAACAATGTTAAATTGTTTATAATTTTACACAAACATGAAATGGGATTATATTTCATTTCTCAATTTTTAACATTTAAGCCGTTAAAATAAATATTGACATCATAAACAACAAAATTAATTTTTTTTATATTTTGAATAGATTAAACAAAAGTCACATCTGTTTTAATTAAACAAAAATATGCTCATCGTTGAAAGTGCAACTGTTGCAATTGTTGATGGCGTCAAAGCACTTCACGCCACTTTGTGTGTCGATTTTGACTTCGTTTGCACCACATTTGTTGCACGATGTGCCGTCTGTCACAAAGTCGTCTTTGCATGCAAGACACACACTTTTGCATTTCTTGAACATTTGTCACAGTTGGAATCAATTGTGTTGCACAAGAAGCAACTGTTGTCTTCATCATCCAAATAACAATTCTCTGCACATTCAACACACACTCTGTTGCTCTCATTTTCGTTTAAATCACACGAATTGCAATTCCCATTTGATGCACAAGATGTACATTCACCTCCAACTTTTTTAAAACCAGATGAACACGACGAACACGCGCCACTCTCTCCGATGCAATTATCACAAATAACTGGACACGGTATGCAACTTCCAGTCTTGCCTGTGGAATAATAACCATCAGGACACAATGTACAACTTCCACTATCATAACCGTATACAGCTTTGCATGTGGTGCATTTTCCATTTGTTTTATCACACGACGCACAATTTGCACTGCATGCAAGACAGAAAGACTGTCCCTTTTCACTTTGGTATTTCATCTCTTCACAGTCAACACATTTTGTGCCATATGAGTATGTCCCACGTCGGCATATCTCACAGCTCTGTGAGGCGTTCAGTTGGTACCCTGAATAACATGTCAGACACACACCAGTTGTTTTGTCACAGGTGTTGCAAATGGATAAACATGCCTTACATCTGGTGGCACCTTCTTTGGAATACGTCCCATCACCACAACTTGTGCAAGACGTCGAATTCTGATTCGAATACGTTCCAGCCGCACACAACTTGCAGCTGTTTGTTGCTACATTTGCATATTGCCCACATTCACAGCCAACACACTCGCCTGTTGGTTGTAAGACATATCCACTTATGCAACTCAGACACTTCCCACTTGCAGCATCACAGCGATCACCACACAGACCATCACAATGTACACACTCGGAATACCCAATCAGATTGTAATACCCACCCTGACACGGCGTGCATGCAGTGCTCCCACCTGTCGATGAATGCGTCCCATTCTCACGCGGCTTGCATGCGTTATTGTGCTCGTAATACCCACTTGCACATATTGTACACACGTTGTTGTTTGTGGCATATCCAATTTGACACGATGTGCAATACCCATTCGTTGAATTGCATGTCACACACGCCGTGTCGCATTTTGTACATGAAAAGGAACCGCTTGATGAGTAATAGTTAGGTGGACACTCCACACACATATCGCCATTTGGATACGTCCCCGCCCAACATGGTGTGCATCTGCCATCCGTCAATATATCACCAGAATTACACGTTGTGCAGTTGCCATTGGTTTTATCACAACTACCACATGTAGAATCGCAACTTGAACACACAGAAGCACCACCAAACGAGTAACTACCACTCCGACACACTGTGCATGTACTTATTCCACCAGGTGAAAAATACCCAGCTGGACACAATGAGCATCCTCGACCATTGAAGCCACATCCACCAACACAACTTGTGCAATTCCCATTTGTTTTATCGCAGGTCGCACACAACTCGTCACATCTTGTGCATTCGCCAACAGTCCCTCCAATAGAATAAAAACCTTTTATGCATTTTACACAATACCCAGCACTTAGATAATAGCCAGCTTCGCATATTTCAGAGGACGTACTAATCAAAAACAATAAAAGTGATACAATGTTTAATTGATGAGTCATTATTATTTTTGAATTATCTAGTTTTTTTTAAAAAAGTAAAAACACACGTTTTAGTTTTGCTGTATATAATCTTGGCATTATTAATCAAATCATAAATTAAAACATTTGAAATTATTAATTTATTATATTTTATATTTGGTTATCATTCCAATTGTCAATTTAAAATCGAAAGAATAACATTTTG